ATTTTACCTATTAGCAATGTTTATGTTCAGCTGAGCATGTTGAAAGTCATAAGACTTTACCCCTGTTCTTTTGGGGGTCCAAAGCCAAAAATCTTACGAACCACTCAAAATATAAAAATACTGGTCTTTGTTAAAAACAAAAAAAAAGTGTTTGCATATTTTTAAGATACCTTTCTCCAGGTATTCAGATTTCCTCCAACAGATCAAAACATTAAGTTAGACTGATGATGCTAAACTGTCCCAGTGGTGTGAAAAGCTGTGTCTCTGTTTTTAAGCATCCCTGTGGACTTGTGACATATCCAGGGTGTCCCCCTCCTCTCACACAGTGACTGATGGAAAGAAAAAAGTGAGTAAAAACAGTTTGTGATACTTATTTAGTTATTGTTTGTGCAGGTTCCCCAGTGTTTCTCCCTCTCCCATGCCTTTCACTCTCACCTAAGTCTCATTTTCTGACCCAGGTGTTTCTCATTCTGAGTCGTAAGTATCTCTTTAAAAAACTTTGTCCAGCTTTGTGCCTTGTAAACTGTTTGTTTCTCTCAAGTATTTTTTTTTTGCTTGTGAGTATTTTGCTGCTTTGTCAGCTTTTTGTTTTATATTTAGTAAATTGGTTTAGTGATTTTCAGAGGCGTCAAAAGTATTCACATCCATTACTTAAGTAGAAGGATACTAGGGTTTTAAAAAAACTTTTTTGGAAGTAAAAGTATCAACTCAAGCTTTTTATTCAAGTAAAAGTATAAAAGTACTGGTTTTAAAATTACTTAAAGTATAAAAGTAAACGTAATGAAGTTTTAAAAAAAGCCAGTAAGGATAAAAGCTTAGCTGTGCCTCAGGATTCTATAGCGCAGTGGTTCCCAAAGTTGGGGTCGAGACCTACAGTGGGGTCCTGGGGTCCTGAAACATCAAGGTGGGGTCCTGAAAATATTTTTTGAAATAATTACACAAAAAATCTCAGCTTGGAACAGACTAGTGTACTTAAAATGGACAAAAATAGGGTAATAAATAATGTTACTTGTACTTGCTCCTGTTTATTTGACATCAACCGATAAGAGCTGGGGGCACAGGGACAGCCGGTAATTTGTGGGTCAAAATACCCCCCCCCCCCCCCCCTCACCCAAGATTTCCTTCTAAAGTCAATAATGAGTATAATGTTAAATTAAAATGTTAATGTTGAAAAATTGTGATGGAGTGCATTCAATCCAATAAAATGTCAGAATGATTTATATTTACACTTCTCATCCAACCCAAATCAAATTCACTCTATTCAGAGCTCCATGTATCTGGATAGATTTCTATTTATTTATTTTTTCTGAACAATGAAAAGACTCAATAAAAACAAGTCAACGTTAAATAGAAATTAAATAGTTTTTGTATTTTTTAAAAAAGTAAGGAGTTGAAAGTACCGATAACTGAATTAAAATGCAAGAGGCTGAAAAATAATTACTCCACTAAAGTATAAGTAACCAAAATTTCTACTTAAGTAAAGTCACAAAGTATTTGTACTTAGTTACTTGATACCACTGGTAATTTTACCCTTAAATTACCTTGAGTCTCAGTTCTCATTTGGGTTTGGATTTACCCCAAAACATTATATAATAATGGGATGGGGGACTTTTGGATACTTCTTAACATTTCTAAGGGGATTTTTGTTTCTAACTTTCTGTTCCACCCTACTCTTTCAATACATTTTCACAAGGAATATTTTAAACAGGAACTCAAAAAAACAGAAATTTGTCAGAATTGCCTTCCCTTCGAATTAAAAGGCCAGCATGTATTTTGTTTAAATACATGAGTAACTTCGTTTGTGTAGCACTTTTCACACTTAAGTAGCAACAAAGTCCATAATTGCACGAGCATAAAAAAACACATTAACTAATAATAACGCATTAATAAGCCAACATTTAAAACTCATCCAGCTATGTTAAAAGTCTTCTGAAAAAGTTAATTTTTCGCAGGTTTTTTTTAAAATCTTCACTGAATCCACAGCTCTTAGAAATTGAGGAAATGTCTTCCAAAATTTAGGAGCTACAATGTGAAATGTTCTGTCCCCACATCTCATTAGTTGGGACCAAGGAAAGCTGATCGCTAGATTTAAGGTGAGTGAAGTATCCACTTTATAAACAGGAGCCTGACTGCACAATGCTCTATAAGTGATTGTAAAAATTTTAAACTGGATCTTAAACTCCATTGAAAGCCAATGGAATTGTTGGAAAAAATATGCGTTGTTCAAAATTGCACGTCCGAATAAACAGGATTCAGCTGGATTTCTTGTTAAAACTTTATTTTTGATCTTCTGACTCCAGTCAGGTTCATTCAGCGCTCAGCAGCACAGGCCTCAGCGTACAACCTTGGGCTGAATCAAAACAAACTC